TTTTTTTTTTTTTTTTTAGGTGTAGCTAACCTGAATTCAAGGTGAACAAGTTTTTTTTTTTCTTTTATTGGCAATATTATGTAACCGTTATATAGCAACTGAGAGGTCAAGTATATATATTTATATATAAAAAATTCCAGAATTTTTTTCATTATTCTGTCAAAATCAAAAATTTTAATTATTATTATTATTTTGTTTAAAAAATTTTTTATTTAAAGGTTTCCAGAAAATGCTAAAAAAAAAAAAGAAAGAAAAATTAATTTAAATGAACTTTTAATGCCCTTAACTTAATCATTTCCTTTTCCTCCTTTCTCCCCCTCCCCCCTCCTCTACCTCTCACGCACTCGCCGAGGAATAATGCTTTAACTATTATTATTATTGTTGTTGTTGTAAAAAAAAATTTAAATGTTGAATTCAATGAATAATTATTATTATTATTATTACCTGTTGTTAACGAGTAATTTTTTATGGATCCCCAACATTTTTTTTTTTTTAAAGAAAATTATTGACACGTGAAATTACCAACGTCAAGGTTATTTATTTTAATATTATCCAGAAAAAAAAAACAAAAGGAAAGGAAGAGGAGAGGAGGGAAAGGAAGGGAAAAAGGGGAATAAGGAAAGAAGGAGTAGTAGGTGCGTCTGGAAAAATTAATTAATTATGGCGATTATGATGATGATGATGGCGATGATTTTCCAGGTGAGATTTACGTTGTTGTTAATAATCAATTAAATTTTTTATTTAAATATTTCTCGTCACGTAAATTTTACGTGGCGGAAGAAACGTTTCGTTTTATATCGTGTAATTAATTTTTTTTTTTTTTTGTTCGTTTTTCTAAAAAAAAATTTTTTTTTTGTGGAAAAGAAAAAAAAAAATTATTAATAAAAACCCCCCCTTTTTTTTTTTTTGTTTTTTGGAACCGAATCTTGTTTTTATTATTATTATTATTATTATTATTAATTATGCAAATCGTTATTATTTATTATCTTTATGACGTCATTAAACGACGCGTCAAAGAAACAAAGAAAAAAAAATAAAAAATAAATTCCAGAAAATGCGTCAATCACTTGAGAAGAAAAAATCGTATTTATAATAATAATGATGATCATGATGGTTTTTTTCGGATATTTTTTGCAACGGATGTCGGTCAAAGGTCGTTCCTTTTATTATGTATAATAATTTATTATTATTATTATTATTATTATTATTGTTATTATTAATATATGTGGTGGTTGTCCTTAACAATGACGAATTTTTTTTTTTTTTCTCAAGTGCAAAATGTAAATTAGGATACTTTAAAAAAATTTTTTTTTTTTTTCGTGAGTTAAAAAAGTGGTTATTATTATTATTATTATTAAAATAAATGTCCTTTATTTTAAAAAAAAAAATTATTAATATTTATTTAGTTTTTTTTGTGCAATAAGTAATTCTCTTTTTTTTATTTAAATAATAATAATAAATGTAAAAATGTTTTCGTTGTTATTTTTAATGGTTTTTTAAAACGAATTCGCGTTTCGTTATTCATTAAAATTAATTTTTTTTTAATAATAATTAACTTTAAATTGTTAATTCATGTGAAACAAAAAAAAAATTTACTTTCACGTATTGCATAAATAATAATAATAAAGTTAATGAGTTATTATTACTATTATTTCATTATCATTATTATTACTATTATTTCAAAATTAAATTGAAAAAAAAAAAAAAAAAAACGTTTTGTAATGACGTTTAACGGTTGAAATAAATTTGAAAATTTTCGCGCCATTTTTCTTTTTTCGTTTTTCTCGGATGCTTTTGTTTCCGGTAAAAAAAAAATTAGAGAAAATAAATTTTTTTTTTTTTGATTGGCGGAGAAAGTGTCACGTGACAGAGGGGATGAAAGTAAATTAATCCGCTACGAGGCGTCGTCATCGCCGTCGTTTGTTTATTTTTATTTTGTTAACGATCGCGTTCGAAGGGTAAAAAAAAAAGAAAAATTTAATAATAATAATAATAATAATAATAATAATAATAATAATAATAATAATAATAATAATAATAATAATAATAATAATAATAATAATAATAATGAAACGTTTAAAATTAAATATGTTTTATTATTATTATCTTTCTTGCGAAATCGTAGTGTAATTTTCTGCCAGGCAGGCATGTGTTGCCACAATACTCATTTTGCAAATGTTGGTAACACCTTGAAAAAAAATTTCTTTCATCAAATCTTAAACTCGGTTAAAAAAAAAAAAATTTTTTTTTTTTTTCGATTTTGATCGAAAGTAAAAACCGTGACCGAAATTCTAAAAAAAAAAAAAAAAAAACTATTGCCAAATTATTATTATTATTATTATTATTATTATTATATTATCGTTTCCGGTCCGTCGATATATCGCAATTGTATTTGTTTAAATAAATTTTTTTTTTTTTTTCTATTTTTTTGACACGATCATCATCATAATCATTTTTTTACTGTTGTTTTTCCTGTTGTTTTCATATTGTTCATTTGTTTGTTTCTTTGTTTGTTTGTTTGTTTGTCAATTAATTATTCGTACAATCAAAAAAAAGATGAAAAACAATTTAATTCGTTCTAATATATTCTAGAACACGTTTAAAAACGATCGCGTCGAATTAATTAATTTAAATTACCAAAAATGTATCGAATGATGATAATAACAATAAATGAGAGAAAAAAATAAATAAATAAATAAATAATTAATAAACTTACCTGATCAATAAATAATCGATCGATTGAAATAAGCAATAATCAAATTTATTACCCAAAAAAAAAAAACAAAAAAAAAAATTTCGGTTTTAACTTAAATATCTGTTGTTGTTGTTGTTTGTTAGCGAGTCTTTATGCGTATGATGAGCACTGATAACAACAAAATCACAAACCTGATTAAGAATAAAAAAAAAAAAAAGAGAAAAAGAGAGAGAAAAAGAAAAAGAAAAAAAAGAGAGAAAAAAAAAATTATTACACGCGCATGCGTATAACGAACGAACTACTTTTTTTTTCCTATTTAATTTTTCGTTTGTTGTTGTTGTTGTTATTGTTTCGTTAATAAATTGTTAAAAAAAAAAAAAAAAAAATTTAAATCGAAGAGAGAGAGGGGGAAGGGGGGAGGCCCCTAACGTACGTGACATCACGATCGAATTAAAAAAAATTTTTGTAAATCAAAAAATAATAATGATAATAATATAATGATTCGAGACAATAATAATAATAATAACAAATGCAAATTTTTTTTTAATTCGCAGGTAAATTTTTTTTTTTTTTTAGGAGTGCGTTTGGGGTGTTATTATTGGTCCTTGTTCGTAAAAAACAACCAATTATTATTATTATTATTATCTAAAAATATTTTTAACGTGACGTTGATGACGATGACGATGACGACGACGATGATGATGATGATGATGATGATGCAAAAAAAAAAAAAGGAAAATTTAAATTATTAAAATTAGTTTTTCGTACATTTTTTTTTTGTTTAAATATATTTTTATAATTATTTTTTGTTATAAATGGTTTCGTTTAAGTCAGGACCGTATTAAGAAAACGTACAAAATTATTATTAATAATAATTAATAAATTTAAATAAAAATAAAACGGAAATAATAAAAAAAAAAAAAATTTATCGCGGTGGGTTTTTAAAATGTTTTAAAAAAAAAAAAAAAACGTGTCAGGAGAAAATAATTAAAAAAAAAAATTGTCATCATCTGCTTAAACTTTAATTTACGTAAAAAAAAAAAAATTCAAACAAATTATTATCATTATTATTATTTTAAAAAAAAAATTAATTTTTTAATTGTGCGAAAGATTTTTTTTTTTTTTTTAAATACGCGTTTGTCGTTTGTTTGTTTTTCTTGTAATTATTATTATTAATAATAATAATTTTTAAAAGGTATTCGATAAAAATGTCGGTGAAATAATAATAATAATAATAATAATAATAATAATAATAATAATAATAATAATAATAATAATAATAATAATAATTTGTTTGTCGTCGTAGTTGTTGTTTAAATAAAAACGTGTGCGCCATTTTTTTTATTAATCCAAAGACATAAAATTCTTGGGTTTTTTTTCATATTATTATTATCATTATGATTATTATTATTATTATTAACCATTTATTTATTTAAATTGTTGATCAATTAAATTAATTCATATATATTATAATTAAAATTATTATTATTAATAATAATAATAATAATAAAAGGACTTTAAAGTTTCACACGCGTTGCGATTGTTTTCCTTATTCCTTTTGTTTGTTGTTATTATTTATAAATCGTTTGAAATTGTTTAAATAAATAAATTGTTTAAATAAATAAATTGAGGAGGTTGTTATTAAAAAAAAAAAAAATTAAATTAAATGAATTAATTTTGTTCGTTTTACGTATTTTAATTGGAAAAAGGTCGTTACATTAACTTAATTAGTTATTACGTTCAATTACATTTTTATTCCCACGAAACAAAATGGCGGATTTTTTTTTGTTCCATTGAATTGTTTATAAGGAAAAGTTTAAAAAACTAACAAAAGGAATGGAAAAAAATTTTTTCAAATTTTTTTTTTTTTTTAAAAGATTTTTCCAAAAAAAAAGAAAATGTAACGGTCGATTCAAGGTTAAATGATCGTTTTGACATTGATATTATTATTATTATTATTATTATTATTATTATTATTATTATTATATGCGAGAAAGTATTAGAAAATCAGGTTTTTTTAATTAAAAAAAAACCACAATATATAAGTAATTCTAAAAAAATTTAATTTATTTACACTTGTTAAATTTGTTTCTATTGCATAATAATAATGATAATAATAATAATAATACACGCGCGAGTTTTTTAACTTTCATTGATAATTTTAATGGGAGTGCGTGTGTGTGCGTGAGAGACCTCTTAAGGAAAAGTGTTGAACTAAAATGTGTATTCAAGTTTTTTTTTCTTTTTCTACCGCGTTAATTAACTTGCGAAGAGATTGTTTTATTATTATTATTATTATCATTCGTTTTTCGCGGGTTCGGGAGTGTTAAGTTACGGGTTCATTTCCGGTTTGGAAAATTAAAAAAACCTTTATTGATAATTTTAACGGAAAAGCGGGTGTGTGCGCGTGAGAGACCTCTGTAGGAAAAGCGTTAAACTAAAATGGGAAAAATGTTTTTTTTTTCAATAACGTTTATTAAATATTAATTTGACGAGATATTATTCGTTTTCCGGAAGTTACGAGTTTATTTCCGGTTATAAGAAAGGAAAAACTTTTTAAATGAGAAACAAAAAAAAAAAAATTTTTTGTTTTTATAATTATTTTCTTTTATTGAGTTATTTTTATAGAAAAATTAAGCCAAAAGTTTTAAAAAATTTTCTCCTTTGCTCCTCCATTTTCCTACTCCTCCTACTCCTTCTTTTATTTATTTTTTTTTTTTTTTTGGTTTAATATAAATATATTAAATTATTTTAAAAAATTTTTTCAGGTACGATATCAATTTAAAAAAAAAAAGGGGGGGGGGGTAAAGAAAATTATTTTAATTCGAGACTGCCATTATGGCCCATGATATCAAAATGTTTTTTTTCATTATCATCAAAATAATAATAATGATCTCTATTATCGTGTGTAATTTGTCTACCGATTATTCTACGGAAAAAGCAAAATATTTCATTAATAAAATTACCATTTTCATTATATACGGATAAATCATCTTTACAAAAAACTTTGGTCGTATGATAAAAGAAATAAACGACTTCGTTATTAAACAAGTCAAAACAGTAGCAACCGAAAATGTAAGAAAACCAACTGTTACATTCACAATTACTTTGACCGACTCCTTTTTGTATAATAAATCTATCGAATAATTTTTCCACATCTTTACTATTTTTATATAAATTATTATTATTATTTAATGGCGGCGGTGCACCTAATAATAATTCAGTTTCTTTTTCAATGGATCTAACTGGTCTTAAATAAGATTTTTCCTCGTTCGCATCGAAATTATCATTATTATCATCATGATCGTTCCAGGGATTGATTTTTGGATTTGCATCCCTCACGATTCTTTTTAAAATTGATCCCTCCGCCATGACACCCTCGTCATTTTTTTTTCTAAATTCGACAAACAAACAAACATGAATTTTTTTTTAAGGTACAATAAACGGTAAAATAATAATAATAATAATAATAATTCTCACCCTTTATGATTGTTCCAAAAATTATCATTATTTCTCGGTTGTCCTTTCGACACCTGAAAATTTATTCATATTAATAATAATGATAATAAATTTTAATTATTAATTATATTTCTTACCTCGATTAATAAAATTGCGTAAAAAACTAAAAATAAAATTCCTTGTCGTAACATATTAATTTGAAAAAACGTGGTAGTAGCAAAAGAAAATCAATCGAAATCTCCGAATACTTTGGGGGTATCGGTTTGTTTTATACCTAGTTTTATTTTTTTTCCTTTTTTGTTATCACGTCTTGATTAATGATAATATTTAATGAAAAATTTTTGTTTTTTGTTTTTCTTTTTACTTTTTATTAGATTTAAACGAATCGAATGGGAAAAACAAATTAATGGGAAATAATAATGATGATAATATGAAAAGGAAAATTTCTTTTTTTGTAAATATTTAATTTTCAATATGATTTTTATTATTGTAATTAATTAATTTTATTATTTTTTACAGGCACACGCACAAACGCACACGCATAAACGCACAAGCACAAACGCACACACACTGTATCTCTCTCTCTCTCTTTTTACCAAAAAAAAAAAAAAATGAGAGAGAAAGAAATGACGACGTTTAAAATAAAAAATTAAATTAAATTGACATTTGTTTCTCTCTCTCTCTCTCATTCTCTCTATCAATAATACTACACATACATACACACACACACACACTCTCTCTCCCCCTGTCTCTCTCTCTATTTTTTCTCTTTACTACATTTACTACACACATACAAAAACTCTCTCTCTTTCTCTCTCTCTTTCTCTCTCTCTTTCTCTCTCTCTTTCTCTCTCTCTTTTTATCAAATTTACTGCACTTACACACACACACACTCTCTCTCTCTCTCTTCCTGTTTCTCTTTTCAATTCTTTCCCTCCTTTTTCTAACCTTTAAAAAAAAAAAATGTAAATTATTGAAAAAAAAAAATTTAATTTAATTAACATTTGTTTCATTCTCCTCTCTCTATCTCTCTCTCTCTCTCTCTCTCTCTTTTGCTTTTTCTCTTTTTTTTTCTCTTTAAAAAAAATGGGAACGACTGGAAAAAAAAATTAAATTAAATTAAATCAATACATGTTTCTCTCTCTCTCTCTCTCTCTCTCTCTCTCTCTCTTGCTCTTTATCGCATTTACTACACACAAACACTTTCTCTCTCTCTCTTTTTTTTCCGTTAAATTTAATTCGTTTAAAAAAAGGAATAATTACAATCGATTTCATTTAAAAAACAATAATAATAATAATTATTTATTATAATTAATTTACGTTAATTTTTTTTTGTTTTATTTTAAACAAAAAGAAATTTGATGACGTAATAAAATCTCGAGTTACACACACACACACGCACAGACACGTATCCAAAGGATGAAACATTATGTTGTGTTTTTCCAAAAGAGGGAAAAAGAGGGAAAGGGAAAAACTTTTCGAAATGATGTGTGGATGTGAAAAAAAAAAAAAAAAAAAATTGAAAGATAGGAAAACAATGTACACGTGGCCATCTTGAACCATTTTTTTTTTTACGCCTGAAAACTCTCTCGTTTGGAAAAAAAAAACCTTTTTTAACGATTTAGTGAGATTTTACCCTCCGGAAAAAAAAAATGTCGTTTGTACACGTGTACGGTTATGATAACAAACAACAAACGTGAATTTTTTTTTTTTTTCAATCGCCCGACATTTTTTTTTTCCATTAATTTACTAATGATGATGATGATGATGATAAGAGTAGGTTTTAAAAAAAAATTTAAATGATGATTATTTCCTTCCCCTCGCTTCCCCCCACGTCAGATTTTTGTAGAGGGAAGGCGGTGAAGGGGGGGGGAACAAAAGCGTGGAGAGAAATAAAAAAAAATTTTTTTTTTTTAAACAGGCCTTTTGGACATTTTTTTTTTTTTGTGACAAAATGACGAACGAAGTTCAGAAAATCAGTTTTGTGGAAAAAGAAGAAAACTGGTTTTTCAGGTCATAAGGTTATTTTTTTTTATTTATTTCCGGTTTTCCCCTTTTTTATTTTTTTTATCTCATTTTCACATTTTTTCTTTTTTTTTTTCATCGTCGTTGTCGTTTATTTAATTAAATCTATCCTTATTCCGACCCTGATTTTCAAAAAAAAAAACAATTATTTAAAATTTTCTTTTCTTTATCGTTTGTTTGTTTGTTGTTTGTTTTACACAACAAAGTTAATATTAAATTTTTTAATTGTTACCCTAAACAAAACATAAAATTTTGATTAACAACAACAACAATAATAATAATAATATTTTTAAAATTTTGATGATAATGATAATAATGTTTTGTGTTTTGTTTACCTTAATAATAATGATAATAATAATAATAGTAAGGTAGAAAGGATTTAAATAAATAAATTTTATATTTATATATTAATTAATAAGTAGGTTATATTTAAAAAAGAAAATAATAATAATAATAATAATAATGATAAAGGAAATTTTTTTTTATGTAAAAATGAGTTTTCCATTCAATAAAAAAAATTTTCTTAATAATAATAATAATAATTATTATTATTATTATTTTGTATTGATATTCAATGCATAAAATAATAAGAAATGATATTTTTTTTCTGAATAATATCGAAAGGAGAGGTGGGGGGGGAAGAAGGAATGGGGGAAAAAAATTTTAATAAGAGAAATGATGTTCTAGAATGTTCTTTTTTTCTTTCTGTCATTTTTTTTCTCTTCCTTCCTCTCTCGCTCTTTTTCTTTTTTTTTTCTTTCTTTTTTTTCTCATCCACGTTTTAAATTTTTTTTTTTCGTTTCGAGTTTTAACTTTCGAGAGTTTTTTTTTTTTAACGTATGAGAATGAAAAAATTAATAATTTATGTAAGTTAATTATGTACATAAATAAAGTATTTGATTACGTAAAAAAAAAAAAAAAATTAGGAAATTGATAATTAATAATTTTTGTTTAATTACGTGCACTCATGGATGTGATAAATATATTAATTAATTAATTACTATTATCGAAAATAAAAAGATGGAAAGTTAGTGAAAGGGAGAAAGAGGGAGGGGAAGACGATAGAAAGTGCGAAAATGAGAGAGAGAGAAAGAAAAAGAAAAAAAAATAGGTAACGAGAGGGAGACAAAGAGACAGAAAGAGAAAAAACTATAAAAAGTACGAGAAGGAGAGACAGAGGGAGAAAAGAAGAAAAAGGTAAGGAGAGAGATAATGAGAGAGGGAGAGTGAAAAGGAGAGAGAAAGGTAAGAAAAGAGAGAAAGAGAGAGAGAGAGAGAGGTAAAGGGAAAAAAATGATAGGTAATTATTTCCGGATTAAAATTTATTTAAATCTTCATAAAAATAAAAAAAAAATTTTCATTTTAATTATAATTGATTAAAATTTATTATTATTTTATAGATTATTTTGTAAGTGATCTTTGAATGTTTTTTTTTTTTACAAAATCAGGTTAAGAAAATTTTCCCGACCTAAATAATAATAATAATAAATTAATTACTCTAGTTTGTGTAAAAATTTTAATTATTTATTGTTTCGGAATTTTTTTTTTTAGAATTTTTATTTAGAAATTTTAATTTAACGTTGAAAAACGTGTTGTTTTAAGGTCGTACTCAACAACAACAACAACAAAAACATAACAAAAACATTTTTTTTTATTAAAAAAAAAATTAGGTTAATAATTATTATGTAATAATAATTTTTACATTGTTTTTAAAAATTTTTTAATTTTGTGGTTAATAAAACTGCCTCAAGGATTAAAAAAAAAATTTTTTTTGTTTGTTAAAAACATGTTTTTTTTTTTTTTAATTTCTAATGACACGTTAAAAAAATTTTTTATTTTTTTTATCCGATAATAAAATTATAAAAGTTTTAATATTAATAATTAATTTTTTTTTTATTAAGAAATGACCGTCGTTCTTAGTATTCAATCGAAAAAAAAAACAACATGGCGGAGGTGTTTGTTGTGTTGGCTCGAGTTAAATTTTTTGTTGTTGTTGTTGTTGTCGTCCTACGGAAATAAATGAAAAAATGATTTCATTTAATTTTTTTTGTCGTTCGAACAATTCAAAAATTTTTATTCATTATTTATTATATTTCCATCGTTTTTACAACAATCGATTTATCGAACATTATCGAATTTAACGGAAAATTTTTTTGCAGCGCTCGTAGCGGCGAAAACTGAAACTAATTTTCTGTTTTCATCAGCAGGTAAACGACGGAAAAATATGAATTCGTAGAAATTTTTTTTAATTATTTTTAATTTTTTTTGGTTTTTTTGATTTCCTTCTTTCGGTCCTGCGAAATAATAATTTTTTATTTTTTATTTTAATCTGACAAAAAATAAGAAAATTAATTTGTTTTGTTTTCGGTGTAATTCAAATTTTTCAAAAAAAAAAATTAACGTCAAACGTTTTCATGGAAACAAAGAAAAAACTTTTTTTTTTTTTTAATTTTCTTTTTAATTTATGTTTTCCGATTTATTCATTTTTTTTTTTTTTTGTCTCAAACGTTTTATTTGTTTTATTTTATTATTAATATTTAAGGTGATTTAAACAAAAAAATTTGTTTGTTCTAGAAATTTTTTTTTGTTCCCTGACCTAAAAACAAAAAATGGATTCGCGTTTTTTTTTTTTTTTTGTTTCCAGTAATTATTTTTCCTTGGCGGAAAATCAGTGAATTTAAACGTAAGCAAATCGATTTCCAAGAATCGATCAAACAAACAAACAAACAAACGAACGAACAAACGAATCGGTCGAAAAATACTTTAAAAAAAAAAAAAAAAATTCGCGCTTAAACGAATTTAAACTTTTGACGTAAGCATGACGTAAGAACGCTTGAATAATTAATAATATCGTCTGCTTTTGTTTTTATTTCCCCCCACCTACTCCTCCCTTTTTTTTACTAATAATTATTAATTATTTAAATAATTAATTAACCTTCTTTAAGGTCGATTCGAGATTCATTCAAATGTCTCGATCAAGGTTCGATTCGATATATTTTCTCTGAGTAATAAAATATTTTCTTTATCCATTTGAATTTTGGCGGGTTTTTCTTAAACTTTTCTACCGCCTTCTTTAAAAAGCAGAAGGTTTTATAAAGAATTGTAAACATTAAATGAAAATAAAAACTTGAAACGATTAATTCAATGTTGTTTACGCGTTAATAAT